AGGTATATATGGGCTGGTGACGGAACATTCATGCTAGAACCAGCTCATTTATAGGTACGGATGTTAGAGGCAGGACAAAAGGATTGCGTTCCATACTTGTGCTGTTATTGATAAAAGGTGTCAAGTTAAAAGTGCTATTTCTACGGTTAGTTTACAGAACCTACAAGGAAGTGGGAGAGAGAGAGAGAGTGAGAGACGAAAGAGGCAGATTCGGTTAAACGCTAGTGGATTAATCCCACGAACAAAAATTACGGAATACTACGTTGGCAGGCGACCAGAATGCGTGGCTTTCAGATGGAGCCGCTGTGTTGCTTTGCGCTAGACGAATCGCTAATTAACCTGTTTGGCAGTTGTTGCGTGTTAGTATCAAATGTCAACGGGAATGGGGGACAGTGAACGGCATAACTTGATTCTTTGTGGTAATATTTTGATTCTTAACGGAAGACCGCGTATCTTATTTCATGGGTATGTTTTAATGCTCAATTTCCACTCAATATGCTGGGTAAGTGTAATTCATCCTTGATGATGGAAGTTAAAAAGCTAATAACCTTTCAAGTTTAACCGTCCTTTGTGGGACAAAAGTGGTTAAATACTGTAAAAAATAACCGCACACTATAAAATGAATTAGACTTTCACCTTGAACCACGGTTGCTCGCTCAGTTCCAGAACGTCTCAATTTGGATTTGTATTGCTTTTGCTGCGTAAGATAAGCGGTAAACAGTTTTGTAAGGTAGTTCCACATGTGTTTCCAATACTCTGAATATTGACTGTCACTGGAAATTGACCAAGAGTCATACTGCTAAATTTTAAGGAAAGTTACCTAAAGGAGAGATCTGACGCGAATCACTGGATCGTGTGAAATATCAGTCCTACAGACTAAGTGATCCTTGTTTTCGCCTCGCCTCTAGTTACTTCGACCAATCCGCTCTTTATACTCGTTGACACCTACACCCTGTCTACATGGTTAAACTCCTTAGTTTGTTTTTTTCGTTGCCCAACGTTACTGTGTTGCGTTCAACGTGTGTTCCTGACCTTCTCAGTTTATAGTTGGCCCACTCAGGGCCACACACTGGGGGTTTCTCCAAGCGGTGAACACGATTTTCTGCACTCGTTATCAATTTATACCCCTTCTCGTATTCTTTTTTAGCTGTGGGAATTATACAAAGAACGTAGATTAATTCGGAGCTATATGGGACATCGACAAGCCGTTCGTGACATCGATTTTGACAATACCGGAGAACATTTCCTCAGTGCTTCCTATGATCGGTACGTAAAACTGTGGGATACAGAAACCGGAAAGTGTACGAATCAGTTCAATTTAAAGCGAGTAGCCTACTGTGTACGTTTCAATCCGGACGAAGATAAACAACACTTATTCCTAGCTGGTTGTGCGGACAAAAAGATTCTGTGTGTAAGTCGATGGAGAATTGGGACTGGTGTTCGCCCATTGTGTTAGAAAATGTTTAAATTGATCGTTTGTTTTGCCGCATCAGTTGTGTTTCTATGACTTTTATTTTGCAAACCGGACAATCTGATCGGTTCAAGCTTATATATAAACGCCTGTGATTCCTTTCCCAAACGTGATTTGTGTCCATTGCTCTTCAAAATTATATATCGAGAGCACTTCCTGAAGAACCGAGTTTTGACACATGTCTGTTTGAGATACGCTTTGAATGCTCCAGGTTTCATTTTGTTTTGGTTTTCGGCGGTTTCATAGTGCCAGCCACCTTTGTGCCTCGACTTGTGTCCTCATGGGATTTTTTCAAAAACTTCGGTTACAATTAAAATNGTGTTTTCTTTGATTTTTTCCATCCCACAGGGTTTGAGTTTATTTTCTCCTGTTTTCCTACCTATGATGCTACAGATAGTATGTATTCCTGAAATGAGTCTGATACATTTAGGTATCTCTCGAGCTTCCTTAGCCGGAATGTTATTTATGAAAAATTGTCATTGGATCAGCTCCATAAATTTATCATAACCAGGTGTTTCAATGAAAGTAAAAATACTTTGCTCTAGAGAGGGAGTTTCGGCTTGTAATTTGCCCGAAGTGGAATCATTCGAGTGTAACTATGCTTGATACGGTAGTGCTTGTCTTCCATTGTTGATTTGAAAGCACTCTTGCCAGTCTGTCATCGAGTGCTGCTCATTAGTTCATCCATGAATTCTTTTCTGAAAGAACTGCGAATATTTCAAAACCACATTCGCTCTGTTGAGGTTTCCATTTTTCAGAATAAAACGTGTTCCTCTTTGAGAGGTACTTCGCTCATGTTGGGGATGTTCATCAAATGCACTGATTTTCAAATGGAAATTCGTCGTCTATATGGCAAATGAAGCGTGAACTGAAAAGCTGGGAAGCATTGGATAGCTGTTTCGACCTGGTTGGGTCTCATCAGCAGTGCGAATTCATCGACCCAACTGGGGATCGAACCCGCGACTTCATGGGCAGAACGCAAACATGCTACCCACTCAGCCACCGGGCAGCTGATCAGACCGTTTTTTCCTCCATTACTCACATGAAATGTACTGATGTGTGTGATAATGTTTGTTTTTCAGAACGATTTGCCGAAGCTAAACGCTTAATGTGTGCTACGTTGATTAGCATCTTCCTCCAAAGAATAGTAATCAATTTGTTGATAAAAGAGTAATGTAATGTCTAGGTCTACTTTTCGCTCGGCGGTGGAGGCCTACAAAACGATTCAATTTTCCAATAACAATCACAATAATTAAATAGCCAAAACTGCTGTTGAACAAGCATCTACAAATGCAGCGTATCCATTTTAAAACTCGTTCTCAGAAATCCCAGGTTTATAATCACAGCAAACCGTATTTCGACCTTTTTTTTCTAAAATCACCAGTCCTTTCTCGACGCTATGTGAACGGCTGATTCACTCATTCTTGGTTATCAAGGTGAAAGCAATAAACTAAACAGGATCAGACTTTCTACTTTAAAGAAGTTCCTCGATTCCATTAAGGTGTTACCTTCATGTTTTTTGACATTGTGAATCACATAAGAATTAATCCTCTCACTTTATTTCTTCTACCCCATCATTTATGCTGTGGATCCACACAGTATGATACACGCAGTGGTGAGGTTGTGCAGCAGTACGATCGTCATTTGGGCGCAGTGAACGCTGTCGCTTTTGTGGACAACAATCGTCGTTTTGTTTCCACGTCTGATGACAAATCTCTCCGTGTGTGGGAATGGGATATTCCCGTGGACTTCAAATACTTGGCGGACCCGTCATTGCATTCCATGCCTGCGGTATCAGTTTCGCCGAACGGTGAGTGCTTTCTGTTATCATCCCGCTATGATTATCGTACCCCGGAAAATGACTTCCGGTCAGTTCAGCTCAATCTCTTGACGTAAATGTCTTGTTTTTTGACCAGATGAAGTGACTTCGTCGGTGCTTACGCAACGGCACTGAAAAATTTACTTCAGATGAGTTATAATGATCGTAGTCATACTGTCTACATTTGTAAAAATAAGAAATCAGACAGCTCGAATGAGTATTACAGATTTTCTTTACTTCATCTTGTCGGTAATTCATTTAACAGTTCCAGTCCCCGTCGTGGAACGCAGCCTGATCGCATAACTTCGGACTGCCAACTGTTGCCTCTTTTAGTCGCAACCCGTAACTTGCATGACTTTGTTTCTGTGCCTTGGAGAGAAAGCCCAGTTACCTATACTCTATGATTAACCGCTGTTCTTAAGCAACACATTGGTGACGAGGATGATTATCAGTGTTACATCCCGAATAAGTAATGCTGGCCAAGTGAATGGGTGACAAAAGTTTTGATTTTCAGTGTTTTAGGGTTACTCGCGGAACTGGGGTTTCTTCCTTTGAACATTTTTTTGTTACCATTTTGAAAGATTTCGATACTTCACGAGAACTCTGTTTACGCTGAATTCTCGCAACCGTTCTTTCTTTAATTCAGGAAAATATTTGATTTGCCAGTCTCTCGACAATCAGTTGGTCGTATTCAACATCTTTGCTGGTTTCAAACGCATGCGGAAAAAGATATTCCGTGGTCATATGGTTTCCGGGTACGCATGTACGGTGGATATGTCACCTGACCAACGTTATATTATTTCTGGAGATGGAGATGGCAATCTGTGTTTGTGGGAATGGAAATCCACTCGCTTGTTGACAAAATGGAAGGCTCATGAAGGAGTGTGTATCAACTGTGCTTGGCTGCCGCATGAAACTTCAAAGGTAGTGACAGCTGGTTGGGACGGAAATATCAAGCTGTGGGATTAAAACGCCCGTAACCATCACCCTATTCGGTTATGCGCCCGTTTATTCTCAATGAACCGCACAAACATCCAGTACGCAAATGATGTATATACAATCCACCCCCATTCAGTCTGTTGTACATAAGCATTTGCCGCAGTGGTGAGCTAAACCGTTCAAACAATTTTCTAAACTTGATGCGAGTTGCCCGTGAACTACCTTGAATACAAGCGTTTCAATACAACCTTTTTTTTGTTGTTTTCTGCGCGTATGAATAANGTTAAACCTCAATGATACCTCCATCTCTTCGTTCTGGCTAAATGGCGTGATTCTTTCCCTTTTATCCCGTTATTGAATGTATCAGGATGAAAGTTTTTAGGAATGGGGAAGCGGCTAATCAGAGAGCTGCCACACCACGGGTAAAGTCAGGTGGTGGGATTCGAACACGTCCTCCGGGGTGATAATTGTGTGACGTTACCACCAGGCCACTACCACCCGTCCTTCGTCTGTTAGTACACGACAATTTATTGATCGATTGAAAATTTGGTGTTCTCGAGGAAATTTTTGGAATTGATACCAAGTACACTGAGAAATTATTCAAACTGTAAAAGATAGCAAACGGTAGTAGAAGCCAAATTCAACCCTAATCAGGCCTTTCGTCCACGACACGCTTTGATGAACGGCAAAAATAAATAAATACATAGCCAACTCAAAACCACGGAACGGTGATTTTTTACTTCACCAGATTTGTTGCTGCCGAGTTACTTTGTCCACCAGACCAGATTATGAAACCTTTCTCCCTCCAAACCTCAAGTGCATAACGCACAAAGCGTTTCAGTGCTTGAATTCTGTGATCTGACGCTGATTGATGGGATCGCGACGCACCGGTCTCATCAATCCACTACTTTTTAATCGATCGGTTGCATACAGGGTATATAGTGGCAGAGGAAGTCGCCCCTTGATTTGTAGGACGGTGGTGTCCCTTCAGTTGTTGCTCCGAGAATGTGCTGCCTTGGTTGTCAGCGGCCATACTCTGGTAAACCGCTCGGGATGAAACTAGGTGAATTGTTTAAAGGCGTTTCAGCAAGACATTACAGTTGCCCTGTGATTCTCACTCATTTGTGAAAAGATCAGAGGTGCACTCTTGAATAAAAAAGGTTGAGTGGTGCTGTCGACGCCATTTCTTATCGCACTTCGATGATTCTTGATATATGGAACGCACAGACCTGCACTCGCTCTACGGAATCCAACTATGAAACTGTAATTAGATTATCTGTACTGACTTTGCCGCAACTCACGGCGTATGAAAAAGCTGCTATCCGACATAAAACCTGCAAACCCACTGATTATCCACCAACGGAAAGACGGAAAATAGCAAGTGTTCAAGATAAGCCATTTTGTCAGGTCTTTTTGAAAGTTCTCTGGGGGCAACCAAACTTCCAGCAGATGCACAAGAGAGGAGTGTGATTTCGCAGGAAGCTGGGCCAACCATGCAGCGGGATTAGCAAGCATTTACTAGATAACCAGTTGAATTCATTCAAAATGCGCTGTCCGAAATACTCCATGTACCTGGTCTACCAGATCCACTGTATTCAAGACTACAGAACCTCGTGCATACAGGAGGTCACTCAATATTCAATACCAAACAGGGACCAGTATAAATAACACTTTCTGTCTGAAATACAATAGAATCAACTGTGTATTTACATCTTGTTCAAGAAATATAGTTAGCAACAATACACATTTCAGGCATCGTTCGCATTCTCCAACTTGATACGTTTCTTCTTCGGGGATTCGGCGGTGGCCGCTTTGCGCTGAGCTTCCCGTTCTTCCGGGGGAATAAAGGCAGCGGCACGCTTCAGCTTACGCTCTTTGGCTACCTGTTCCGATTTTGCTATTTTCGATTCATGTTTCAGTCGTTTCCGTTCAGCCTCCGCCAAGAAGTATGTTCCTTTAGCTAATTCGATGTCCACTTTGGATGGAACAGGAGCCGGCGGGAAAGGAGTGTATTCCTTCTTTTTCCGTATCTGAATCAGGAAAGTCATAGATAAGGAATGGTGAGCGTTATGTTCATCCACGAAATAAATCGCTTACACACTCATCGCCCAGTATTATTGTCAAAAAATGCCTCACTTGAGTCAGTCTCGATCACACAAAATTGTCTCTGAATGAGGTCGGTTTTTAGTAGCTTCTTGGAGGAAACAAACCTGTTAGGTCATTACCAACCCGATGTTTTGTGACGGTATACCTGGAATCGTTGATATACGGAAAGCATCACGGCTACACTCTTCATTACGTCTCCCAGGATAACTGTCAGTTTGAGTTTGGCGACAATGTATACTTAGGTCTACTGGAGGGGGGGGGGATGTATAGCAACAACGTCACATGTTATTAAAACAGTCATATTTGAGATGGGTCATCGTGTGAAATGATTGTTAGTAATACAATGAATGACGGGCAACTGATTATAACTTCTACACTAACTAAACCAACCAGCTCACACCTGGGCTGGTCAGAATTAACAATTCATGTATGTACAGATTTCATCTTCAATGATAGCCGGTCAGTTAAACCAGCAACAGCGAAATGGGATGGTTGAATATCTATCAATTCCACTTCGAAAGCTTCGACCAAGTCACGACTTCCGTGCAGGCTCCGGCTGAGTTACGGCAAACCTGCTACGCTAGAAGTCAATCTTCATTTGACTCACAATTACTTGCGAGTAACCAGAACCTGGATGGAAGTCGGGCTTTGGTGAGAGGCCTTCAAATGGAGTTAACAGAAAGTCAACTTCGTTGACGTTGGGTTAACTGACTAACAAATTATCATTGAAGATGACATCCGAACAAACATGAATCGCTAATTGTGACTAGCCTGGCTGGCGCAGTTCCAAGACACGTTCCGAACGATGTGTCCGGAGTTCAAAGCCCGATGGATATACACCATTGATTGGCTTGAATGAGAACGAAACCCGAGTCTAGTAGAATGTAGTATGGTGGCCTGGATGAACTGAGGATTGCGGGTGGAAACGGAGTCTGAAGAAATCAATATTTAAATATTTGACATCAAAAAATTATGGTAATGTGGTAGCATAAAAGTTGTCACCATAACAGATTCGGATACACCCGGAAGTTTTCAGATATTATCAGAGGCGACATACCTTATGCGGCTTTCGACGACGACTGAGCACCTTCTTCTTCAACTTTGGAAGAAACCGATCCCAAGATATATTCTGTTTTGTAGGATCAGCTTGCAGCTTCTTGATGATGAGTAATCGCTTGATTGAATACGCCGGATGCACGTTGTCATAGATGCACCCCCAAACGATTTTTCGAACCTGGATTGGAAGTGTAATTGTAAGTTACTACTATTGTAGTTTTTAACAATATTCAATTTACACCGAACGACAGCCGATAGAATCAACTCGGAGTACCCTAAACAAGAAGACTCCAATGTAAGTTAGCCAACCGTAAGAATAGGATCTTCACGCTCGCGCGCTGCGGTAAAGTTCAACCAACCATAACGTTCTTTCAGTTAAAAATGTCGAAGTAGCAGTGCATATAAATTACGCCCGAAGATAAGCGTAGGTGGTGCCTTGATTGATCAAAGGGCAAGATGGATTTTTTGAATGAATAATCACGGTGCAAAAACTGAAAGATAACTTGGTTATGCAAAAGTGAGCAGGAAATGTTCTGATATGCTAGCTAGAATTTGCGGATATCTGTGCACATCGAAGCTTTTTGTGTTATTCATTCCGTATATGAGAAGACTGTTGGCTAAGCAGCATTCTAGCTTACCACGCTAAACCCATGGTGGTGCTTGTGGAGGAGCCCGATCATCACAAGTTCACCTCGTTCATCCTTGCAGTCGTAAGTGCTGTAATATACTGTTTGAATTGCGATTGACTTTAGTCAAAAGTGAGCCGATAGTTAAATGTGTCGTGTAAATTTATGCTGGGTATTCGGCAAATAGTTCTTCGCATATGCATCAAGAGACACGGCTGCTGTTTGTTGTACTGAGACAGCATTGCAACAACATTTAGGATGGGCTGTTAGTAACAATCCAGTGTTACATCAGCATGGCTCTAGATGATCAGCAAACAAGAAAAGCACGGTCAGTGTTTTTGAACATGGCGATTGTATTTGTATTTCATGGACAAATCAGGCCATTTGGTCACTAAAATTGTGTCGATTTTGTCGATTAAGGTTTAGTGTAATAAATGTGACAGGGAACGACTTCACAATAATGGTTCCGCAAATGATCAACACGCAATAGTAACAACGCTNGGGGGGGGGGGATAATGTAGATGAGCAATTGTAGAGCAAATCGACGCCAAGAAAATGTGGAATATTCGATTGCAGCACTGCTGGGTCATGATCGGCGTGACTGATCATAGCTGCTTCACAGATTGACTGAAACTATACAAACAACTTATTCCGACACCTTTTTGATTCGCTTGGGGTCCCCACTTGTCTGCTGAAGTCCTCCAGAAGAGAGTGCAATATCAGTTGGGAGGACACCAGTCTGTTAATGCAAAATGCCGTATGGGGCAGTAAAAAAAGGAAGGAATC